GGCCAACAATTTTGTAAACATCATTTTTGAAAATATATTACAAATTTTAGGCACGTTAGGAGACATGAACACTGATATTCGTGAAAGCATTATTTATGGTGGCATAAAATTGAGGACAGTATGTTAGGCAGCATTGAGAGAGTAGATACGTAAAATTCCTGTTTCTGGAGTTGTTCTGCTTATTATTATTGCATAACAGGCCAGTCCAAAACTTGGTGGCATAAAACAAACATGTGTCTATATTCATGGATTCTGTGGTTAGGAATTAGGACAGACCACAGTGGGGTTGCTGTCTCTGCTCCATGTCTGGGGCCTCAGGTGGGAACTCACTGGCCTGGGGTGATTCTTGGAATAGCCCCTGAGAACTGGAATCATCTGGTGGCCTCTTCACTCATGTCTGGTAATGGACTACTGTGGGCTGGAACTATCAGCAAGAGTACCTACAGATATGTATACTTCCTAACAGTATGGTGGCCTCAGAGTGGTCAGACTTGTCATGTGGTAGTAGCTCAGTATTCTGAAAGCCTGAGTCTTCCAGGACATCCAGCCAAAAGATGTGACCTCCCATTTCAAAATAAAAGTTAAAATCCTAACAAGGTCCTGCACAGCATTGCCAATTGTATGTAAGAGGATGATCCAGTGGGAATATACAAACAAGGGTGGGAGCAGGGATTCACTGTTAGAAAATGCCCCCAGGAAACCCAAATGAAAACCGCAAGGTCGTTTTACAAAAGTTGTGCAGTCCTAAGGATAATTCTTTGTATAGCATTATTCTGAGCATTGCAGGACTTTCAGCATCTCTGATCCTTACCTGTAAAAGCTTTTGTACCCCAGTCACTGAGACAAGCAAAAAACCCACACGTTTTCAAAATGTCCCTTTAGAGGGCTGTGCAGTTTTGATGAAAACCACTTCCAAAATCTTGCGGGAGCTAGTGTCGCGGGGATGGATATTTGTCCCAAGAGAGACTCGTTAAAAAGTATCATTTGGTGGCCCCATGGTGTAATGGTTAGCACTCTGGACTTTGAATCCAGCGATCCGAGTTCAAATCT